TAACACTAAGCCAGCAGATGTGTTCTGGAGAGATCATCTATCCTTACTCCATCTAGCAGTGAACGCAACACTTCATCACCTAACCCGCTCTTTATGATGATCAGTGAGCATACAGTGAATGTGACCTCGACTCACTAACGTTACAAGGCATCGACATCCACTGACATAAATTCGATTTAGTAGTTTGAGACTCGACCAACTCCAGAAAACTGGCGTTGGTGACAATAACCATCAAGATATTTTAAATATAGTGGGGATCGACTAATGGTTGTGTTTTCGATGACACATCTTACATTAACACCACATATGTCATACGTTTACATTCTAAACGTGCAAATCTGTTTACTTGTCATATTCTATACGTCATAAACGCGCAGTAAGGGGGGATGCTTCACGAATATTCTTGTACACAAGCTACGTCAGCCCAACGACTGTTAACTTCAAGTATCAGTATTTAGGCATAAGAGAACAATGAATTGCGAGAAAATATACAGTTTATTTATAGATCTGAAAAATAGAGTCAGTCACTGTCGTCGGATGATGATTCTTCAGCTCCCGTATCCTCACTGTAACGGAAAAGAACAAGAACAAGATGACCAGACTAGTAGAATACAATCAGAAAGAAATGTCATCAATACGAGCAGACATATGCTTGTTCATCATGAACGATATTATTGAAACTCACCCGTCGTGATCGTTCAAATTTTTGCTGAAATGTAAAAAACATGAATTAGTTCGGATGGATAAAAAACGAAGCGATATTCAGATAAAAGCGTCATCAATTGAAACAGACATATGCTTGATCATCACAGCCATTGTATTCTAAACGTACCTTGTCATTTCATCGTCACTTGAGTCGGAAGGATTTGGTGCTTTAATTCGCCGTCTATCAAAGATGTCGAAGATAAATAGTGAACTTACGTTACAGCTTCCCCAGCTTCACTCACTTCCATTTTGGATCTGAAGTACGCGTTATCAAACATTGACCACTTACCCAACAAAGTTCGGTGTATTCGCCACACCGTCAGATTTGGCAAACTTTTTAAGTAAACCTTGAGCAACAAGCTTTTTTCTTTCCATGGAAACAGGACCACGACCCCACTGGCGAGGATAAAGATCACGCTCCATTATTACTCTTTTCAATTTTGCGACTAATCCGTGGTCACACGTCGCGATTGTTGCAGTAGTCATTAGTGCAACAGCTTGAAGTCAATGTTAGTCTGAAACGACCTACCAAGAGCTACGGCTTCGCCTTTGGTAGTCATTAAGACTATTTCATCGTTGACATTGATGTCGTTGTCGTAACGGAGTACGCCAGGCAACATAAGTTTCGCACCGAAGCAAATAGCGCACACCTAATCTACACATGCTTCTATACGTAAAGGAACTTACGGCAGTATCTTTAAGCATAATTCGTTTGTGCTTGATTAGCAGCTTTTCAAGAGGCATTATAACACGACGCAAGTAAGTTTCGTCTCGCCTATTGTCATAAAGCCACTTAGCATCTAGTATATCATGCATAGTGACCAGGTTGTCCTGCAATATGAAGGACTCTGATTGGACATACCCTTTCAGACATAAAACCAGTTTTCGACCGCCTAAGTTCCTCCATAACACCTCCACAACCTAGAAGCAAGCCCAAATGCACGCAAAGCGTCCGAACATACGTTCCAGCCTCACAGCGCACCATTATTAGCCCTAAATTTAGTGTTGCAGGATCACAAGACTTACCCAAATTTTTACTTTTTTCATACTCTAACAGTTTACACTCGTATATTGTACGAACTCTGAGTTGGCGCTTAACAGCAGCAACTAGTGGGGGTCTCTGGAATAGTGCTCCAGTTAGCCCTTCTACAGCCTATAGACGATCAATAAGGGACAAAGGTCAGTCTTGCGTCGACCGTAGTGCAAAAATGCTGATAAGTTTAGAAACCGCTCACTTTTTGTATCTTTTTGATCTCGTTCACGGACTCGTGAAGTCTAAATATGCACACATACTCCTTACCAGCACTTTGTTGAGACTTCACTAGCCTAGTAGCACGGTCGATACAGACAATAAGACAACCTGAGCCACTAAGAGTGAAATTGCCATACCTGAAACTTTGGGATCTAAAGTACCACTATGACCAGTTTTGTTGACTCCAAGGGCTCTTTTCACCCACGCAACAACTTCATGCGACGACGGGTTGCATGGCTTGTCGAGGTTGATGACTCCACTCCTTAAAAGTTAGAGAGATGGTTCAGACTAACTTGATGTATTCATCCAGAGGTCTGTGTAAAGGAGAGTAACCTGTTGTGTCGGCCTCAAAATGGCACTCGCGTACATTCATAAGATGAACATTCTGAGTCTGAGGAGTGGTTATGAGATACTTACTTTTAACAATAATGGCCATTGACTGCAATCCAAAGTAGGTTTCTTGTCCTCTGAAATTACCGCAAAGGACTCAGATGCCTGAATAGCCTGAAATAAATTAACAAATAAGCAGAAACAAGAACTTACTCCCACATCACCAGCTCCAACTTTATGTTTCTTCATTACCAGTGTCACGCGGAATGAACAAGCACGCCGTCAAGGTCTAACAGCTTAATGAATGCGTATAAACAAACAATTTCTTCAGTGTTTAATAGCGAATAATCACTATTTTCCATCACCCAAAAAAGCTTTGGTTCCATCGATGAAATGATATTTTTGCTAATATCATTGCTCGTGTATGTTTGCTTAAGTGATTACGTGATCATCTCAATGGAAGACTTTCATCAATGTTCTGTTTCTCAAAATGATTTACCAAGAAAAGAAGGGTCACTTAAAGCTTCACCTTTGACATGCTTCTTTTCTGAGTCACACATACCTCATGATTTGTGTGGACACTGTTACATCATGAATCGTCCTGCACCCGAGAACCACTCCACGTGGTATTCTTCGTCCCAATTTTTATCACCATTCTACAGCCAGTGAATAATATCGTCATGAGGCTTGTATTTAGGGTATTGGATATCCTAACCTCCAAACTATTAGAATTCTTCTCTAGAGTGTGACAAAAACCCTAACTACAAAGGCGTTAACGGCAACTGTAGCCGGCGAATACAGCCGTCTGTCATACATCACATATGTGATAACGAAAGTTCGTTCCTTATCTATACGGGTGCAGACGTTGGTGTTCTTTCAACGGATGTTAAAGACCGACTCCACGAATCGGTTTCAAACTTACAGGCGGCAAACGGAAAGCCTATCACAACATATGGTTAACGATACGTCTACCTTAACGTAGGTTTACCCCAGACCCATCCACTGGGTTTTTGTTGTTGCAGATGTTTCTCTGCCAATCATTGGTATGGACCTGCTACAACTCCTGCTCGATACGGTCAAATTATGGGAGTCGGTGTTTTGTACTTATAAAAGTACTTATTTACTATTTAATTAAAAAGTTATACTCATCTTCCTTATATCCCGACTGTATTCACCTTGCCATTTTAACACAAGTAACAAACATTCTAACCAAATAAAAACTAGGGAAAATAAATTTGCATTGAAGCTTGCAATCTAGAGAGTGATGCTTTTAACGAAGACAAAAATAATCTCAATAAACTTTCAGAAAGCTCACTGTCCAAAGAGTACATAAAAACGGGATGTTTGTGCTAAAGAAAGACTCATCACTTAGTGGATCTATTTTGAAATATCGTTCAATAGATATTCAAAGTCTTGAAGGTGATTTGTTGTCAATGGTTTGATCACAAAGAGCCTGAGAGTCTTATTTTTTAAACATACAAACCATTTAGCAATCGATGTGGAATAACAGGAAATTTAACGGCTACACAAAACAAGGAGATGGACAAGTACTTCAACCGTAATTTTAAATCACATGGTGAGGCTCTCGACGGACACTTGACTATCTAACTCAGGCTGTTATGAGATCATTGATTAGTGCTCACATTCTCTGTATTGTTATAGTGTTGGTCAGTATTCAGATTCACCTTACTAGCTCAAATGATACAGGAAAGTAACTTACTATGGTTATGCCTCATTAACTAGCTCTTAATGCTCCAGTAGGCTTGTTAAGATATCCTCCACTAGCAAATATAGCACTTGTTAGATCCGAACTAATGTTTGGACTGAAGAATAGCTGCCTAGGTGGGTTAGATACGCTCCCTTGCCCGGTTGAAACCAAAACAAAGTGATTGGGTAAAATGACGGTTATGAAATTCTTTATAAATCTAAATGTACATTGTTACCTTAACAACTATGACCACACATCCATCCAACCAATAATTTTTTAATCATTCAAAACCATTGCAACAAATAAATGTTATTCTTTTCTGTCTGGTAAACCCATGTTATGGTAGACGTATCGTTAACCATATGTTGTGATAGGCTTTCCGTTTGCCGCCTGTAAGTTTGAAACCGATTCGTGGAGTCGGTCTTTAACATCCGTTGAAAGAACACCAACGTCTGCACCCGTATAGATAAGGAACGAACTTTCGTTATCACATATGTGATGTATGACAGACGGCTGTATTCGCCGGCTACAGTTGCCGTTAACGCCTTTGTAGTTAGGGTTTTTGTCACACTCTAGAGAAGAATTCTAATAGTTTGGAGGTTAGGATATCCAATACCCTAAATACAAGCCTCATGACGATATTATTCACTGGCTGTAGAATGGTGATAAAAATTGGGACGAAGAATACCACGTGGAGTGGTTCTCGGGTGCAGGACGATTCATGATGTAACAGTGTCCACACAAATCATGAGGTATGTGTGACTCAGAAAAGAAGCATGTCAAAGGTGAAGCTTTAAGTGACCCTTCTTTTCTTGGTAAATCATTTTGAGAAACAGAACATTGATGAAAGTCTTCCATTGAGATGATCACGTAATCACTTAAGCAAACATACACGAGCAATGATATTAGCAAAAATATCATTTCATCGATGGAACCAAAGCTTTTTTGGGTGATGGAAAATAGTGATTATTCGCTATTAAACACTGAAGAAATTGTTTGTTTATACGCATTCATTAAGCTGTTAGACCTTGACGGCGTGCTTGTTCATTCCGCGTGACACTGGTAATGAAGAAACATAAAGTTGGAGCTGGTGATGTGGGAGTAAGTTCTTGTTTCTGCTTATTTGTTAATTTATTTCAGGCTATTCAGGCATCTGAGTCCTTTGCGGTAATTTCAGAGGACAAGAAACCTACTTTGGATTGCAGTCAATGGCCATTATTGTTAAAAGTAAGTATCTCATAACCACTCCTCAGACTCAGAATGTTCATCTTATGAATGTACGCGAGTGCCATTTTGAGGCCGACACAACAGGTTACTCTCCTTTACACAGACCTCTGGATGAATACATCAAGTTAGTCTGAACCATCTCTCTAACTTTTAAGGAGTGGAGTCATCAACCTCGACAAGCCATGCAACCCGTCGTCGCATGAAGTTGTTGCGTGGGTGAAAAGAGCCCTTGGAGTCAACAAAACTGGTCATAGTGGTACTTTAGATCCCAAAGTTTCAGGTATGGCAATTTCACTCTTAGTGGCTCAGGTTGTCTTATTGTCTGTATCGACCGTGCTACTAGGCTAGTGAAGTCTCAACAAAGTGCTGGTAAGGAGTATGTGTGCATATTTAGACTTCACGAGTCCGTGAACGAGATCAAAAAGATACAAAAAGTGAGCGGTTTCTAAACTTATCAGCATTTTTGCACTACGGTCGACGCAAGACTGACCTTTGTCCCTTATTGATCGTCTATAGGCTGTAGAAGGGCTAACTGGAGCACTATTCCAGAGACCCCCACTAGTTGCTGCTGTTAAGCGCCAACTCAGAGTTCGTACAATATACGAGTGTAAACTGTTAGAGTATGAAAAAAGTAAAAATTTGGGTAAGTCTTGTGATCCTGCAACACTAAATTTAGGGCTAATAATGGTGCGCTGTGAGGCTGGAACGTATGTTCGGACGCTTTGCGTGCATTTGGGCTTGCTTCTAGGTTGTGGAGGTGTTATGGAGGAACTTAGGCGGTCGAAAACTGGTTTTATGTCTGAAAGGGTATGTCCAATCAGAGTCCTTCATATTGCAGGACAACCTGGTCACTATGCATGATATACTAGATGCTAAGTGGCTTTATGACAATAGGCGAGACGAAACTTACTTGCGTCGTGTTATAATGCCTCTTGAAAAGCTGCTAATCAAGCACAAACGAATTATGCTTAAAGATACTGCCGTAAGTTCCTTTACGTATAGAAGCATGTGTAGATTAGGTGTGCGCTATTTGCTTCGGTGCGAAACTTATGTTGCCTGGCGTACTCCGTTACGACAACGACATCAATGTCAACGATGAAATAGTCTTAATGACTACCAAAGGCGAAGCCGTAGCTCTTGGTAGGTCGTTTCAGACTAACATTGACTTCAAGCTGTTGCACTAATGACTACTGCAACAATCGCGACGTGTGACCACGGATTAGTCGCAAAATTGAAAAGAGTAATAATGGAGCGTGATCTTTATCCTCGCCAGTGGGGTCGTGGTCCTGTTTCCATGGAAAGAAAAAAGCTTGTTGCTCAAGGTTTACTTAAAAAGTTTGCCAAATCTGACGGTGTGGCGAATACACCGAACTTTGTTGGGTAAGTGGTCAATGTTTGATAACGCGTACTTCAGATCCAAAATGGAAGTGAGTGAAGCTGGGGAAGCTGTAACGTAAGTTCACTATTTATCTTCGACATCTTTGATAGACGGCGAATTAAAGCACCAAATCCTTCCGACTCAAGTGACGATGAAATGACAAGGTACGTTTAGAATACAATGGCTGTGATGATCAAGCATATGTCTGTTTCAATTGATGACGCTTTTATCTGAATATCGCTTCGTTTTTTATCCATCCGAACTAATTCATGTTTTTTACATTTCAGCAAAAATTTGAACGATCACGACGGGTGAGTTTCAATAATATCGTTCATGATGAACAAGCATATGTCTGCTCGTATTGATGACATTTCTTTCTGATTGTATTCTACTAGTCTGGTCATCTTGTTCTTGTTCTTTTCCGTTACAGTGAGGATACGGGAGCTGAAGAATCATCATCCGACGACAGTGACTGACTCTATTTTTCAGATCTATGAATAAACTGTATATTTTCTCGCAATTCATTGTTCTCTTATGCCTAAATACTGATACTTGAAGTTAACAGTCGTTGGGCTGACGTAGCTTGTGTACAAGAATATTCGTGAAGCATCCCCCCTTACTGCGCGTTTATGACGTATAGAATATGACAAGTAAACAGATTTGCACGTTTAGAATGTAAACGTATGACATATGTGGTGTTAATGTAAGATGTGTCATCGAAAACACAACCATTAGTCGATCCCCACTATATTTAAAATATCTTGATGGTTATTGTCACCAACGCCAGTTTTCTGGAGTTGGTCGAGTCTCAAACTACTAAATCGAATTTATGTCAGTGGATGTCGATGCCTTGTAACGTTAGTGAGTCGAGGTCACATTCACTGTATGCTCACTGATCATCATAAAGAGCGGGTTAGGTGATGAAGTGTTGCGTTCACTGCTAGATGGAGTAAGGATAGATGATCTCTCCAGAACACATCTGCTGGCTTAGTGTTATCTCGCGTTGCAGAATTTGATATTTGCATTCAAGACAATAAATAGTCGTGTCGCCGTTCAACTTTCATTGGTACTCACCAAGACGCTTCGTGCGCCATGAAGAAAAACGTAGTTTGGCATAATCGGGTTTACTTTACTTCGTTAGTTCAGCATTCGGACGGAACACTGAGATTCCGGTCGTCGCACTTATGGAGAATTACCACATCAATCATATGCACTGATATACGATTGTCTACGTGAGATACTAAATGTCCTTTAGCCGGATACCACTGGAATCAATCTACCGTTGGATAGAACATTCAGCTTCTAACCGAAGAGAAAATTAGGAAAAGGCGCTGGAGTTAAAAAGACCTTCATTGCGGAATTCATACTGCCCCTTTAGATAGGCGCTGACGTGAAGTACTGAAGTGAAACGAAAAAGTGGAACGCCAAAGAACACACTGCGTCGAGAATTGGAAGCAAGCATAAAAAGGATGAATAGCAACTGGAAACAACTTTAAAGGATTGCCGAGAACAGAGTGTGTGGGTGGTCTATGCTCCTTCACTATGGTTGACAGGCACATTTAGGTAAGTAAGTAAGTAAATCCACTTCTTAACGGTTAATAAACCAATCGGATATTTAAAGGTTAAAAATAATCGGCTGAAAATACATTTAGTAAACTCAATTAACATTAAGAGTTGAAAGTGAAGCAAAGTTTCATATAGTTATGACTTATGTTTAAGCATTTAATTACATATTTTGAAAAAACTGTAGACAGACTTTCTCAACCATTTTTACTGATAATCCAACATAGGGAAGTTAATTGTTTGAGGTTATATTTATATTAAAAAGAATTCAATCAAAGCAATCAACTTAATGCTTAATGCATATCTTCGGAAAGCATTTCTATAAGTGCTTTGATGAGTCCTTAAAATCATTCCCTATCAATAACTACTATCCATTAAATAGGAATAGACGTCATTAGCTCAACAGATGGAATCCAATGCTTACAGCAATTGTAGTTCATGCATTTTAAGAAACACAAAAGGAATGTAAATGTAGATTGAATACATAAGTTCGGAACACAAAGAAATATCTATCTTGACTTCTACTCCCAGTGACTCTTGAATCATGCCAAAGCTAGTAGCAGCTTTTAGTTAAAGAAAATCATACACAACAGCGATCAGTTTATTCATCACAACATGTATAAATACGGTATAAACTTCTCATCATATAACCTCACTGTTATCACACCCTATACTGCGTTACTAGTTTGTCACAACTAAGACGCCGTTTTATCGTATATGACATGAGTTATTGTATTTAGCTTCACGTTGCCAGTTCTCACACAATTGGTGTTTGTTTCGTCGATCAATGGAAATGGGGGGATGTCATGGGTAAAGCTGATAGCTAGAATTCAATAAGATACCAGTAATTTGTTGTCTACATTAATTCAAACAACCAAGATTATATCCGTAAACGAGGTCATAAATTCATCAGTCGTTTAGATAGCTGTTAAGATTCTATAGAGTGAAGCGTAGCATATTTGTCAAGAGTCTAGATGCTAATAAGAAATAATTAAAAAAGCAGTTAGTAACCGAATTGAAAGTTGAATGGTGTCATAAACGCATGATCTTGTGTAACTATGAGAGACTGACAAAAATATAGATTAAAATAACGTAACATTAAATATTTTAGTTGACATCCTTGTTGTATCAGAAACGCTTATATTACAGAAGTTATAGGACGTGAATATTATGTCCAGTTTTAATCCACTTTAAATTTAGGATTTATACAGATGAATTGTGAAAATGTTACCAGAAGTACCCCATTCTGATAACAATCATGTGGTCACTAGTGGCTGGCTTCAAAGTGTAACTCCTAGCTTTCTAGCTATAAGCTGTGACCAGTATTTGGTTTAAATCCATTATAGTGTCGTTTTCTACATCCCTGATGCATTTTTTGTTTCACCACTTGGTCATTACTTATCTAGGGAATGATCAATTATACTGTCTATTAGTTAAAATATCAACTACCAGTTAGTGTTATGAGTTTCGATGTGACTTGTCAATTCAATTTTCTCCTGGATCATGTATGGGATTTTTTTTCTCTGAATTAGACAGGTCGTTATTCTTTGGTACATATTGTTAACTAATCTAAACATTTTGAAGCCATTTATGTTATTTCTAAGTCAATTGCTCATGCCTAATTTGATCTACCATTCAGCTTATGGTTACTGTGGGATTCTTTCCAACCTCTTTGTGAACTCTGGTGCGCGATGGCCTTACTCGGTTTGACACCGATTAAGCCTTGGATTGATTCTACTGGGTCAATGAAACAGTAATGAACCCTCATCACAAGTCATCCATCAGGTTGAGCGGATTTAAAGCTAAACGGGAGAACGCTGGATATTGAATAGTAGATGGAACGTGTGGAATGAGGTTGAGGGTCAAATTTGGAACATAGTTGAGACGGTGTAGCTCGGCCATTCTGAAGTGATCATTGCGACCCCTTCATTTTTATGATGAGCATATTACTCCATCCGTAAGCTTGATTGTTTTCGTATATTCCTAGAAAAATACCTCAAACCGTTTCAATAGTATTAGTTAGTTTTTATATATTTATATAATGAGAAAAACATGCATAACACTCGTGGACTTTTATACAGTTGTATATGTGCTTGATTTGTTCTTCGTTGTAAAGGGTACGTATTGTGATCGACTCAGAACTGTTTTGTCACTACTGACGAATAAGTATATCTGAAAACGAAAAATAGATGAGTAAACGTTTTAACCGAGTAAATATTTAAAAATTATACTTTGGGGTATACAGTTGGTAAAACGTATGGATCTCCTAATAATATGGTGGTCCTACAAATCTATTGTCGTGACTGGAATTTCCAAAGAAATAAAAAACAGTGGATGCACTATTTCAACTTCAAGAGAGTAGTGACAAAGATAGTTCGCAGGACTCTGTTTTTGACTGAAATAGTGCTGCAAATATTTTACAAACAGGAGTGGATTATTTCAGCTGTTAGATTGTTTCATCACGTCAGAAGTTCGAATATTTAAAAGTATTTTTACTATGTAAGGCTGTATAAAGTAAATCATGTAGTGGCTACGAATCTCGTTGCTCATGCTGGACGTCTTAAAGAGTAACACGGCAAATGCTGTCAAACACACTTCAGTATCTGCAGTCCACGTCGTAACAGTAGTAGTTCCGGATAAACATCGGGTTTGAAAACACTGCCGAATGTTATTTTAGTTGTTATCGAAAATTGCAAAAACCTTTAAGTTTGTTTTGTTTTTTCCTTTGTAGCCAGTATCCCTTACAACGTTAGCCCGGTTTACAACGTTAATTGTCATAAAATTAGCCTTATTTATTTGTATCAGAAGGGTTTTTTGTGGATTTTAGAGTAATTTTAATCGTTGAGATCATGAGTCGATTGAAGCTAGATCATCATGGAAAACCTGAAAACACTGGATGGTCGTTTCGTTCTATTATGGGACTCCTCGGCAATGGGTATCCACGATCCCACCTCACGATATTCAAACCCAGAACCTATCAGTATCGCGCGCGAGTGCTTAATCACTAAACCACTGAGCAGGCATCCAACGGTGTTAGTGTCTAACTTCAACCAATCCACTGAATTGAGCGACACATTCACCATTGTCTTCAGTGAGTTAGTATCTCACAACAAACACGGTTGAACTCCACTGGTCACCGTTTTTCACTAGAACTCCAGGAAATATCTCTTGAAGCCAGTCACTTGCGAGCATATGTCAACTCATATCAGAAGGGTTTTTCTGGATATTATAGTAGTTTCAATGGTTGAGATCATGTGTCAATTGATTTATGTCATAGTAAACATTTATTCCCGACGCTGGAAAAATAGTCAGGATTTTATAGCATTTGGGTAAATGAATTTTCTTTAGCTTATTACCTCATGGCGATTATGCTGAAGATAGTTTTGTGTTAATTAATAGTGAAATGGAATTTGAAGACACAAAATAACTGTGGTAAGTACCAAACGTTTGATTTTATGATATATGTAAAACAGCCTCCGGTAGGGCCATTGTAGCGCGTTTGGACGTAAATAATCTAGAATTCGCAATCACTATTTACATGGATTGAGCTAAGGGAACAGAAGGATATTGCAGTGCGTTGTCATCTATTTTTTATCCTCTATCAAATGTAAAATCAACGACTGTGACACATTTTCAAGCGAAATTAAAAACGTATCGCCTTTCGTATTACACATGTTGAATTATCTTCCAGATAAGCGGTCCAAACAGATCATATGTTGTTTCCTGTCAATACTTGGTTAGTTCACTTGGTCTGAGTACTCAAGTAGTGATGCAGCGGCTTGCCAAAACACTCCATGTCTGGTGTTAGACTGTGCTGTCTCCCTTAATTCGGTCAGGGGGACCGGGTGACTTCACTATTATTCATACAATAGTGTAACTCCTGTCTGTACACTCAAATATTTACTTGATTATTGTGTTGAATGCCATTGAAGTTTGTCTAATAAATTTGAAAAGCGA